GGGGAGGGGCTGCCTTCGGCAACCCCATGTCGGGGCTTACACATGGTAAAGGGGCTAGCTACGCGCCTGGAGGCGGCTCAAGTTATAACAGGACTGTCTTCTTATACAAGTAATGATTCATTATATTTTGAAACGGGGTTAGAAACGTTATCAGAGAGGAGAAAAAGGCGAAAATTGAATATTTTATATAAAATGAAAAACAATTTAACCTCCAGCTATTCATCGGCCCTTTTGCCAAACACAGTGGGTAACAACAATCGGTACAATTTACGGAACCAATATGATTACAATATTCCTTCTTTCAGACTCTCCTTAAGCAACTCTTCTTTATTTGCCATCGAGTTTACGCCTTTGGAATCTGCTATATCCAGTGGTGCAAATTCGTCTCCACCATCACATTATAATTTTGGCGAACGCAATTTAAATATATTAAATACGAAACTCAGGCATCAGTGTTAAGATTGTTGATAATCCATCATGCGCGTGTGGACATTCCTGTGAGGATGTTGGTCATTTTTTCTTAGAATGTTAACTTTTTAATACAGCACGAATTACGCTATTTCAAAACATAAACTCGTTGAATATCTATCCAGTAAATTTATTTTTATTTTTATTTGGGAATGAAAATATGTCCGTGGATACCAATACAGAAGTATTCAGACACGTGCAACTTTTCATCAAATCCAGCAACAGATTAAAAGTAAAATATAATGATTGTAAAATATAGTTTGTATGCTTTGTTAAATGCTATCATGTAAATATCAATATGTACTGTATTAGAGGAAAAGACGTTGATAAGTTGATATCAATTAAATCAAAATATCGGCTTAACCTGATACAAACAAGATCTACAGAATTACTTCCCTTCTAAATAGGCCTACATTCTCCGTAACTGATATATGCTAGTAGATCAGTCATTCTACCGGAAGTTTTTTGTTTCAGTTTTAATTTGTAAATATTTATTTTTCACATTGACGGTAATCTAGACTAGAGGTATCATCCAGCTTTGTATTTTTATTGGGTTTATATAAATAATGAAAATTCTATACTTAACCACGGAATTAGATTAGGTCCGTGACTTAACCAACTTCGATGTGTAACGTTTTACTCTGCGTAACATTGAATAAGAGAAATAATTGCTAGTCTCTTACAGAAATAAATATCGTCCACGGTGAAATTGTGGTGATGTTTAGCAAGACCTCTGGAATGAAATACAGATTTGCTAAAAAAAAGTTGCATCAAAATCATTACATTGAAAAATAATGCTATCAATATTGTATAAAACTGCAGCATTCTCAAGTTGAAGACATAGACTTTTGTTTCCTTTTAAAGATAGAAAAATAATATTTTCAGTTCCAATACATGTAGCAACGACTAGATTGAAATATGGTATGTAAATACTTTCATTCACACCCAAGAAGGTTAAAATGCAAAGTTGTACAAGAGATGATGACCTGTGCAACCTTATATGAAGTTTCATTACAATCGGAAATAAGTATCAACTTATCTATCCCAATGACGCCAAAATCCTACTTAAATGGTAAGGCTGTCTGTAGTTGTGACCACATAAAGTCAAGAACTAAGATTGAACCAGAAAGTTGTACAAGAAAATATAAGATTCCTTTTTGCCTATGGGCATAGAATAAGGAAATTCCACCGAGAGATTTTCCAATTTGGCAATAAAACAATTCTTACAATCCTTGGAATGAATGGATATTTCCCTCCCATTCTATTACCAGAGTAAGGTCAGAATCAATGAAAATGTGCTTTGATTGGCTACCGTTTTGAAGATATCATCTTTTTAAAAAAGTATACAAAACTAAAAAAAATTTTTAAAGGATAGGTTCCAAAAATAGGACACCGTGACCTTCCTTTTATACTTGGTACTCCGTCATCCCAAGATGTACTTGTATACCAAATCTGGTTACTCCAGATGAAAAAGTATAATATAAAGTTTCTTAAAAGGTCAAACCCTAGGTCACAGGGACTTGCTTATTAAACTTGACCTCTGCCATCCCAACTACCAAATCGAAGATATGCTCCAGACAAAAAATGGGCTTACTTTCGTTAAAATGAGCACTGCTCCCATAACTATGGCCTGATTAACTTTAAATCGCAGGTGTACAACTTGAGAGTGTGTGGACTACGTCAGTTAAGTTTCATGAATTTGTCTGAAAACTGTCGTCGGAGTTGTTCCAACAAAGTTGTGTCTACGGACAGACAGACAACCAAATTCCAGTATCCCCCCACCCCCCACCCCCATCTCTTTTTTATTTCGATCAATCTCAATATGAAACATAACATTTGAGAAAGATCTGGCAAGTGTTTCTTGAGAAATAGTGATAAACTTGAATCACAAAATCCAAGATGGTTGCCTGTTGGTAATCATGATTTTCCAAACAGTCTCAAAACAACACATGCGCCACTAGGGACAGATGGGAACATACACATATTTGAGAAAGATCCAGTCAGTGCTTCTTGAGAAATAGCATAACAAAGTGTTTAAGGACATACAGACCAGGGACGAAAGGCGATTTTATCAGCCAACCATCCAATGATGATGATGGTGATGGGCGAATAAACTATTCTACGTCATTTTTTCACATTTCTCTGTACCATGTGTCATTCAAATTGGTTAAGTACTTAGGCATGAGTATTGCAAAAAAATGTTTTTAAACAAAGGGGCATAACCCCTTAAATAGGTGAAGTAACTACAATTTATATGCTTTATTTATATGGTCAATGTGTTACATGTACCAAGTATCATTTAATCAGAGGAGTGTGAACAATGTTTACACACAAATAAGCATCACTCCATAAATAAGGGTAATGAAATTTATATACGTTATTCCAATCCCTTCATCAATCTAAGTTGGTTATTTCTGTCTGAAGTATCATTCAAATCGGTGCATTACTTTGGAAGAGTTATGGAACAACGTTGTGTATATGGACAGACAACCTGATTCCAGTATGTCCCCCTGTTACTTTGTTGTGTGGGGTATAAAAGCACTACTTTCATCTCCTGTTGTTGATAACACAATGTTATTTTAAACCAGAATAGATACAGGTTCTACTGCGTGATCTCTGAATTCAAGTGTTCCTTTTCCCCTTGGATCTGCTACCTCAGTATATTCTTAGGAAACAAGTACATTGTACATCGAGTAAATCTAAAGCAACTTTTATTTGAAATAATGAGCATGAGAAAAAATAATAATAAAATGTGTATCAGAATAAATATTTATTTTGCAACAGATGAACATGTACATAATATATCAACTTCATTCTTCAATTCACTTTGTCAATACACAGGATTCCATGTCCAACAATCTTCCTTATTCCAGACACTGCTGGTGATGAAGGAATACCAATTTATCAACGACACATCTAGCCTTGTATTGATAGCGTAACTTTTCCTTCAAATTCATATCACATGTATGTACCGTACCTTTGACAATTCTCACCCTCACTCTCCTAACACATATCAGTGATTTTTGTTAATTTCTTTCTGCATTGTCATAAATAATGCCTGCATTTTTTTTCTTACCGTTGCCCTCTGCACTGTAATAACTCATGACAGTCATTTGTACTAAAATAAAACAAATGCTTCTACATTATCGTAACTTCTGCCTGTAATTTTCATTCAAATTTCCCTTCTACATCATCATGACTGATGTAGTTAGCATTCAAAGTTCTCCCCTGCGTTGATCATTTATGTCTGCAACTATTAGTATTAACAATGCCCCTGCACCAGGAAAATTAATGTATGCATATTTTGTTGACTTTTGCACTGTCCCAACTCGTGTAACTTTAGTTGTGTCAGCAGCTTTTTGAATGATTCAAACATGGAAATTAATTTCTTCCTAACACTTTTAAGAGAGATGCTAAAATCATGCTAATATGGATGTAGAAAATAGTAGCACAACCCTTCACTTTGACAGCCAAGACCACTCTTACACAGGTAAAACCATGAAAAACTAGTACATGATATTATATCTGATCATTTCATATACAATTCGTTATCTACACAACAATACACACATATTCAGCAGATCATTTTATATATATTTGACAAAATTGTCTACATGTAGAGAATTACTGTGTAGCTGAAAGCCATCAGAGCTATATATACAATTCTGATCCTCTTAATGTAAATGTAAGGAGACCAATTCACTGGCTCGTGATTACTGCTCTGTGTTACAATGAATCAAAACAATACTGAACAGGAACCAGTAAACCAGATCAATACAATTCATGTATTGTCTGTGCTGTCAGGACCAAAATGAAACACTTCAATTCAAATCTTAATTCACTCATATGAATTTGTCCTTCTACCACAACATTCTTAATATTGGCTCCATCAATAAAAGCCTTCTGATTATATATAATACCAACAATTCTTCAAGGTGAATATATTTGACTCTGTTAAACAGAGTTTCTGTTTTGGGGCCAGATACATATTCATATACCGAAGTAAAATGGTGGGAGGAAAGGCGTAAAAACTCTCGCCTCGATGGCTTCGCTCATCAACAACTTCCATGGTATTTACAAAGTGTTACAAATTAGCTGATGTCCCACATTTATGTTTTGAAGACATCTGTATGAACTTAACATAAATTGTTATTTTATTAGAAATAACATGTTTTATGAAATGAATCACCTTGAATATACTTAACTGCAAGCAATGGAAGTGGAATATGAGAATAATACATTATTTTCATCTTTAACATTGATTGGAAAGATAATAGTCTGAAATATCCTACACATCTATTCAGCATGTGCAAAGTAACAAACTAACATTCAAGGTATGTAATAAGCATCTGATGTTTTGACTAGAGTAGAGAAAGGGAATAGTAACAAATACATTTCAGCAGAACCATACACCTGCATTTACCTGGTTGTATGGCCATCACCGGGGAGGGGGATTTTAATAAAAAATAATTACCTTATTTAGAGTGGAACTATTAGTATATACCTTCATTTTACAGGAATTTTTATCACAGTTTCAATAGATAAAATTCACACTGAAAGAATGTCATTAAACTTTTACATAACCAGAAATGTATTATACTTTCACATAAACAGAAATGCATTAACTTTTTACAATGGTAGAATCACATTATAAACTTTCAAATTGACAAACGGAATATAAACTTCAACCATGACAAATACGTATATATATATATATATATATATACAATGTATCAGTGAAATTATCGCATGTTAAACTCACACATTGACAAAATGCATTATAAATTTTCACATTGCCAAAATGCATTATAAACTTCCACATTGACAAAGAAATGCATTATATGTATAACACAGTGTACCAATTTTTTTACACAAAAAGTTGAGGTCGTCCAGTCTGGTACCGAGTCCTGTCTTTTTTGTTGTAGAATTATCTCAACATAAATTTAGTCATGGCAACCAAAGAAATTCCACTGCATAAACCTATATTATTCTCAGTGTAGAAACGAATGTCTACAGACTGTACAACATTAGACCTTTCTTACAAATACTTACTTAATACATACTGTCTGCACCAAGTACACAAGGAAATCAAATGTCATCTCAAAAATTGAATAAAATATCTAAATTGATTATACTTCAGACCAATTATCAACAGGTAAAAAGTTACCAATAAAAATAAATAAGATCTAGTTGTTTCACATATTTCCTGGGTTACACAGAGGATTTGCATTATTCAAAATCTGAGGGAGAACACATATTTTTTTCATTTTTTTTGTATGAAATTCTTGGTTTTGCCATAAAAAAAAAGTTTTTTAATTTGTTTATATTTTACGAGATTGATGAAGCTCACCAGTAACTTATCTTTTTAGCCATAGTAAACTTTCTTAAACATATTCTGAGACTTTTTCATAAATCTTGTGGAAATGGGAACTCATTTATGATTTTATGTAGGGGTAAATAACACATTGTAGTCACAGACTGGGAACTCATTATGATCCTATGTATAACTTATAAACAATACATTCACAGACTTATCCATATATACCAAGGTAATCATTTTTTTATGAATTCATTTTACATAGAACTATCACTAATTTATTGCACAAAATATCACAATTATTTTGCGGACCATTCGAGTGCTAAGATCTTGTGAAATGTATACGAATTCAAGCATATCAACAGTGGAGACACCATTCATGTCACTGATGGTCTTAATTTGAACCTTAACCTAGGTAACAAGAATAAGTCTTCAATCAATGAAAGTTCAATGTTAGTCCAAAACCAGAGGTAAGGAAACAGTTCAGTCATGCAGCCAGAATGCATTATTCTCGTGAATATAGGGTACTTCTATGGCTTGTTCCTTGGAAGGGATTTCAGTTTCCATGCTTTCTTTGTGCAACAACCATATCTCTTGGTCGACGTCTTGTGTGACCTTACCAATATCGGTGATGCTATGGACATTGGGGGGTAGGAGCCACTGGTCACTTCCAATCTCACCATGTTGCTTAATAAGTTGGTCCCACGTGCCACATGACTGGAAAGGAGTGCTTAATGGTGGTAGTTTGTTAGCCTCATCCAGATGCAACCATACCCGGCTGTCAGTGTTCCCAAGGACCTCAGTGATGGTCATTGCATGTGCTTTTTTAGGCTGACTGCAGGTGTCCTTTTCATTCAGTAACCAATCCTTAATTTCTCTACTTGCTCGCTGAAAATGTTCAAATCCCACACATCGGGTTGTCGGTCCTACATTCTTTCCTCCGTTGGCAAGCCATGTCTGGTTGTCATTGCTATGTTTGAAGATACTGAAACCAGGCAAATCAGTGACATCCATGCCACTGACTCTTTCTTGGTGTTCCTCGAGGCAGGAGGGTGTTCCTAAACAATCGTTGAAGGACTGACACGGTTCATTTGCCTTGCACAGGCCACTAACTTGTCCTGATTTCTCACTGTTTTTGTTGCACTTGATCCAAAGCTTGTCAGCCAGATAGTCGCCTAGATTTTCTATCTCAACAGATTTGGCAGGTTTGTCACAGCAGGAATCCCCACAGCAGCCTGTCTTCTGGAAAAACAATGTTAATAAGACATTGTAGCTTATTACTCTAAGAACATCCACATTGAACAGGTTCATAAAAAGTATCAAGTAGTTTTGTTTTATAACAAGAGAAAAAATAACATTACGCATGCATTTTATCCAGGCAACTAATACCAAGTTCCTTATCAATTCAATAATCTTTAAGACATTTGAAAGGTTTCAAATTGAACTTTGTAATAATGAGAATCTAGGGGATACATTTCCGTCTTTATTCATAAAATGTGTTTAATCAAATACATATTTTATAAACAAGAGATAATAAAAAAGAACATTTGGAACGATCAAATTTAATTTTATCACATAATGTACTATCCAGTGAACATATCCATGTAATGTTTTTTGCGTATTAACCATGTAATATGACATATCAGCCCTGATATTGGTTGTAAGTTTAAATTGCGACGTCACGTCTAAGACAAGTACATGACGTCACAGACTTGCGCACTGGAGTCAAAATAGCGGCTTTTTACATATCAATCTTGCTTGAAAATTGTCGCTTTACACAAATAAATGTCACAAATCTTGATTATGTGATAAAAAGGATCTTACACTCGTTTTCATTTCATATGGAATGGAAACTCATGTAATAACCTATATGAATAGGAGCCTAATACTGGATTCTTTTCCCTTTTTTTTTTACCTGCTTTGGTGCCAGCCACACCGACAGGTCATTGTCCCTTTTGGCCAGGTAATTGGCAATCACATCATGTCCAACCACCTGAGGAGTACCTGTCGATTGGGACTCTGACTTAAGCCAGGTCACACTTGGTGAGGCAGTCCAGCGGTGTATGTCTACTGAGGGAGTGGTCCCAGAGGGTTGGTCAGCAATGTCCTCAGTGTCATAGACTCCTATGAATGGTCAGTGTATTTTTGGTACTTGTCTTATAAGTGCTAACGTTTTGCAATTTCTATTGAATATTTGATCTACTTTCTTATTAACAGAATGGATGCAACAAGCCAAATGTATCTCTCAAGCAGTACTTGTTCTTTTTACAGATATTTATATCCCGCTAAAAATAATAATTCAACATAGACAAGCAATACCTTATTTTGTAAAATCCTTATTTGTTTTTGTTTTAAATATTTGTGAATTCTTGCTGAATAACAATTCATGTCTGTGTCTACTGGCATGGACTTTGGACATGCACATACTATCTATGACCAATTATTTCCACAAGACTCCTTTCTTACAATTATGAATGTTTATTATCAAAAGCAAACTTATTCCAAATGATTCGTCCATCAGGAAAATGGTTGATCACTGGTCCTAGATAACATTTTGTCTTGCTTAGTCTCACTTCAGTTAAGTTATTCTTTCAGTATATAATTTTTTGAACACATTCATTGATTTCAACATTTATCCTGTTTTCTATTTATTAACAAAAAATCAGTTTTAAGTCATAATTAATTAGTTACCTGTAGCTCCTGATCCATCAACAATCTCAAAATCATCTTCCTCCTCCATATCTGGGTTTTGTTTGATCTGGAGCAGCCATGTGTCAATGCTTGAGGTAGTGGACGAGGCAGTCGGTATTCCTCGGGGAATACTTGTACCCGACGTTACACTTGATGCACTGCAGAACGACACTGATGGGGAAGCATTCAGTACATCTGGAGAAATAACAGACATGATAGGTTGTAGACCTGAGCCAGATACCTCAGTAGCGGACGATTTTAGCCAATCACTGGGGTCTTTACTAAAAGTTGGGAAGGCAAATGCTGGCTGTAAGGCGGATGCGGTGGTAGTAGTGGCAGTGGAGTGGGTCAGCCAGTCTTCAGGACGGGCAGACAGCTTTGGTATATGGACATCAATCTGTTAAAAGAATAAAGTGTAACTCTTGGATCACAATATCATCAGAAACAAAATGATTATGGGCCTTTAAAATCACTTGTTAAGTTGTATTATAGCTATTTTTCTATTATTGACACAGGAAATAGAAATACTCATGCATGAGAACGAAGAAAGTCATGACAGCAACAAAACTTACTAATAAACATCTAATAAATTAACCATATTTATTACTTCTGTAGACAAGTAAAAATTTCAAAATATATTTACTATGAAAATATAGGTTTGGCAAAGAGAACTTTTCTAGTTCTGCTTGTGTGCTAGTAATATACATTTAAAATTGTACAGCCCTGTAGGACTGTTTATGTACACTTAGATTATAACTGTTGGTTTAGGTACAAACTTGTGATGCAACAGGTGACTTGGTACACTTAAGTTATGATGTGCTAATTTAGGTAGTAACCTACATACCCGATACACTTTAAGGTATATTTAAATGTTATAATAGTTGACCTAGGAACAACCTACAATACAACAGTTGTTCGGTACACTTATGTCAAGGCTGTTTAATTAGCTACTGTACTACAGACTTATGTAACAACTGTTGTTTAAGGTATAGACTTGTGTTGCCACTATTGTTCAGGAACAAACTTGTGCTATGGCTAATTTCGTTTCAGACTTACATTACGACTGTTGGTTTTGGCATGTTTAATCTCCTCCACAGTTTTATACAGGATATGATGTTCAGCATCGTCGTAGTCCTCAAAGTGAGGTGGCAGACTGGCTGCTGGGCTTCGTGGGTCCATGAACTGTGAGGTCAGAGGAAACCCAGTGTGGTCCACACGTCCATAGTTGAGTATAGCTTCCTTGAGGGAGGCAGTGTCTGCCCTGAAACTGATGTAGGGGGACTCCTCCGGCCTCAGGTCATTCCTGGTGACATTATAAGATTGTTCATAATCTAATATTATCATGAGTTAGTAAGAAAATTCTAAATTTGGCCTCCAACAGTCAAGAAACTTTTCCTGAAGACAATGGATTACTTCAGGAATTCAATAAAAATAGATTAGTCTACAAATGTTCTAGATATTTTTATAGGAACTGAACAGCCCTAACAAGGTTCCCTATAACAGATTGCTTCAAACAGAATGTTGAACCTATGCCACTGAACCTGGTTAGTTTGAGCTGTGATAATTTCAAAATCACCTTGATCAATTTTCCAAAAGCTGTTTCTTAAAACGTCATAAATACTGCTTCATTCTCAGATGTACAGACAGAACTGTATATACTGTACAATATTTCAGTTCAGTAACACCTACAGTGCAAGATAGTAATATATGGATTTTAAAAAAAAGAGGTCTTTCATGGCTTTTCATTAGAGCTGTCTATATATATCGGAAAACAGGTATATCGCAATACACGGGTATATCCTATCGTACCACAATACAGAGATGAAATATTGCTGTATCGCAATATTTTTCAAAAGCATATTTTTACCTATCTGCTTGGTATTTTTAACTTTGCAAATCACTACTAATTCTAACAGATATGCCAATAAGTATAAAGCAGGCTTTTAATAACTCAAATTTTATAATCAATGGTTGGTTTGACAAACATCTTGAATCTATGTAATCCATATTATATATGATTAGTAAGTTTGATAACATTTTGACAACAACTTATTATAAAATTGAGCACATCCTTCCTATGACAATATATCTGGATACGTATCGCAATATATTCATTCTGTATTGCAATATGATGTGATACACTCTTGACGTATTGTCACACCCCTACTTTTCATGCAGTACCATAACTATGACATCAAAGTCAGACAACATCACATCATGTTTTCAATCCAATGATATCATAACAGACATGCACAAACATGAAAAAGTGTCTTTTGTTTTAAACTTATACCTACATGTCAAAGAGCATAGTGCCATCTTCATGCCCAAGCTGACTCTGCAGACTGGTTAGCAGGGTGTGAAGGCGCACCAGCTGGCGTTGTAGTACTTCCTCCTTAGTGCTGTGAATGAGGTCTACTTGACTGAACAGGAATACCTGACGATTCCACAAGGACCGTAAGTGACGCAGGAATGTAGTGTTCATGTTGCTCTTCACCTGTAAGTATTTATACATGTAGGATCCGGTTATAAATTCAAATTCTGCATGTTAAATTTAACATATACTACAATTAGTGAATAACCAATACCTGTATCTTATTCTATATAGATATGAAGAAATGAAGTTTTACTACCGGTAATATCCAAACAAAAGTTTTAATTGTAAGATGATGATTTCTTATTTCATCACAATTCTAGTACATGTATACAACAACTTCAGTGAACATATTATAAAAACAATTTAAATATTTTTAATGTTATATGTTAATATATATAATCATGAAAGAATTCATAAATTAAAACATACATATCTAAATCAATACAGCTAACAACTTGGGAATATCTTTTTTCAAATCTCAAACTAAAGTACATAAATTAAATAGAAAATAATAACATTTGAGACACTTTTATACCAAGATTATATTATAAATTAGAGAATTTCAAGTACTTACCTGCAAACAGATTTTCAAAATTCTACTACCCCAATTTAAAAAAAATTGTAGTAAATTTTCACTAGCCAAGACATAAAATCTACGGAGATTTGTCAAGTGTAGATTTATATATTACATACAGTGTTGGGCTATAGGAAATGTACACCTTATATATCTATATACCCGTGCATGTACAGCATCCATTAATAATTATCAATATTTTTTAAATTGATAGGCATTAGTTCATAAGGCAGAATGAAATAAAAAGAAACAAGGTTTACAACTTATATATTGGTCATGTATCCTTTTTGCTGAATGTAAATATTTAAACAATAAATTAACTTACTTCATTAGTGTTTTTGTCCAGGTGTGACTTGATAGCCTCCAGATGTTGGATAGCACTTTGTACATCACGGATTTTCTGTTCTAAGTCCATATTCAGAGGTCAAGTATCTTAAGAGCAAAGGCACTCGTACCAAATCACTTTTTTTCAGACCTGTAAATCAATCCATAAAAACCAAACATTATATTTCAATAAAAGAACGAATGTATATTATGTACCATGTAAAAAAAATACATGTTTAATAGAGGCACACATACAACAAATGCATGTGCCTGGTTAAACACTGGTGTTTGCAGTGTGTGGTAACAAGACTGTGAGCAATCAATAATTATGTTTTAACAGTAAATAACTATTAGTGAGTAAACAAAAGCATGGACTACTAAGGAAATTATAACAGCTTAGCAACATATTTTTTTAAACAAATATCACATTTAACATTAAAAAAACATGTTCAATTTAGAAACACCGGTCTGCAATGCAGCATTTCCAAACTGTGCAATAACATGTAAGTAGTCACAGAAAACAGTCATAAATCCTGCACCTGTCAATCTAAACTTCCACAATACAAATGTTCTAGTTTCAAACTTATACAGACAAGATCAAGCTTAAAGACAATATAACTTACAGATAGGGGACCAGCTATGCTATACCTAGAACAGGTTCTGAGTATATATATAGCTCATGTGTCAGGAACAGGCAGTGAGGTGGCTGCTAATGAGTGAGCAGGTGCCCAGACTGTAATGAGGTCTTGTAATCACAACACCTATATATGTACACCATCCATGTTTACCTGCCACAGTTTATGTTTATCTAGATCACATGTGCAGAGGACTACTCATCACGTGTATTGATAAAGAGCAGCCAATATCTGTACATGTGTTATTGTTATTGATGTACTTCAATATGATAAAATAGATTTTGTTATCAGTTCAAGTATCTTTCTTTATCGGTTATCATACAAATGTTGCTCTAGGGACGTCAACAGGTACGCACTTGGCACTTGGTTTTTGACATAGGTCTACATCATTTCCAATCCGAATCAAAACTAGAGGTGATGGATACATATATAAATGTGCACATAGCATTACAATGCTATCAACAATCTAATCATTGCAGTCCTAGTTAAGTCAGGATTATTGTCAATAGACAAACTGAAAAATATTTTTGAAAAATGAAAATACATGACAACCCTTAATCTAACCCTTAACAGATAATCAAATATAACTTTGTCTGGCCTTTATCAGAATTGAACCAGCAAATCAGCAGGTTCAACAGCTAGAGTAATCTATAGCTACTAATCTTAATATAAACTTAACCTCACAAACTTTGTACAGATATATAGCACAAAATAGATTTAGGTCAAATTGTGTCAATATGACATACTTTAGAGTCATGACTTAGTTCAAGGTTTCATGAAAATGACGATATTTAATTACGAAAATATGAATAAAATATATTCAGGAACTTGTTTAACTAAGGTCACAGGAAGGTGTCTACAGATGACTTGCCCACAAAGAGCCACTTGATTGATTATTTTTCTCCCACATTTTCATACCGTATTTTTGACCCCAATGCACCGTACTAACATCAATAACACATGAATACACACATAGCCGCTGTGCTGGAAATGTGTGTAAAAAAATCTGCAGCGTTAATTAAAAATAGCAGTCATAATTAAATTCAGATATTTAAAACATTATAAGTATTAGCAACGTTATATTGTATATATTGACATTTTTTTGTTATAAGATTAATCGTTATATAGTATTTAACGAAAACACACAGAACTACTTGCACTTGCTGACTTCACGCTTCGAAAAGTTAACTTGGAGTCAGAATACAACACCCTCGGTTGTTTTGTTTTGGGAGCTGACATTGTTGTGTTATTGTTGATAGTAATGTTAAATGTTCCTCCAGTGATTGTAGAGCCTTGGAATATACTCGGGATTTAACATTCATTAGATTTACAAACGCTTTCAGATTCGCACAAGGACATGCTGTTGTGCGCTGTAGTCACATGTGTAATGTTTGCTGACTGCTCGTTTGACATCGGCCGATGTGAGGTTGATGCACTAGACTGACCCAGTGTGTCGTCCCAAGTCTGTTTGTACAATTTCATTTGAGCGATTGGTCATCGAGAGGAGAGACGACAACCTATGTTTTTGTTTATTGCTGACTGTTCTGTAATTATTCCAATACATGTGTGTAAAAGTGAAATGTAATTGGTTTGGCTAAAAGTGCACAGGGTCACAGGTCATGTTGAAAGAAGTGCATTGTCTGTGACATAATAGCGATTGCCAGCTGTCTTGATTGATCAAGGTAGATCAAGACAGGTTTATCTTTTCCCTACCAAAAACGGGAATGTACCTGTGAAGTGTGGGAGAATATGGTTTCTCCCATGTCTCCTATGCAGAACTGCAGAAAAAAAAATATTAGTCGCCTGAAATGATTATGCCTTATCCATGAAATACAGGTCTATATTATTTCAAAATGCTTCATGATTTATCTTAAATAACATCAAGCCCAAACTGAAATAACAGAGTCTCAACTGAAACTGAATGTCAAGTTACTTTTTCCTACAGTCTTTTGAAGAAAGATACAATCTCTATTAATTAATATGCATGCGTGCCAGGTTTTAATTATACATTATTATCATGGGATAGGACAGTTACCATCTAGCTATTTTGGAGGGACTTTTTCTTTATCGTTCTATATTGTATAAATAAACTTTTTTTTATTTTTGTTCAATTACTAGTATGAAACAACTAGTCAATTCAACTTACATTTATCACTGTTGTTGGCCCGATTCTTAACGCTCGGGTTTCTTAGTGTGGGAGGGATTAAACTGGAGTAAACGATTTCATGTCCCACTGCACCACCCGACCACCCTCTATATTGTATGTCACAAATGCCCTCCCTGTTGTGGAGACATGCTGTGATGTGGAATTTGCGACCAACCTCAATTAAAAGTGGGCATACCTATAAAAATCGACCAATGTGTCGGAGTATGTAGGATTCTCCATTTGAATAACGACAGGATGTGTTGGGTATTGATATTATCGTGTAAAATATGCCCAAACAGCTGTATCAAATACCGTGTAAATTAAAGGAAAATACAACCAATAAAACATCGTTCAAACTAAGCCAAATATAACACTTGTAATCAGTTTATCAAATTAGAATATGATCGATAAATCTATGAGCAAACGAATGTTGCTATCAATTATATAAGGTCAAGGTCGTCTGTAGTCGCCATTATAACGAGTCTGTCTGTCACGTTCTATATTGTTATCGTCAAGTTAACCTTCTCTAGATTAAAAAGACACATATATGAATGGCGTTACCAAGCATAGTGGACATTTTATTCCGTCTCACCCGAAATACGGTCCACACATGCCTAATTTGGTCAAAAATAAGAAACATAAGCAGTAAAGTTGTAATTGTCGTCTATGTCTGACACTGAAGACGGCAATCTCACAATATTGTAGCGTTGCTCAGAACGGATATTTGGTTATTTCAACGTAAATTTGATAAAACAGTCTTCAAGATATGATACTTTCAGTTGCGGTGCCACAAATGTTCGTAAACTACAAGATAATTACCTTAGGACGTGGTTCCTGCTGCTGTCAATGGCTATGGACACTATATCAAAATGGTGTAATTTGATTGGTTGGTTTGAGGGTGTCGGTGAGTCTTGTAGCCCAAGACCGAACTTGAGCTTTAAATATGCGTACCCCAAATAAAAAGACTCGGAAGTTGCATGGAAATCCGTGGTTATCATTTAGGACATGGTGTGACTGTTGATGAAGATTTAAGTTTTAGAACACATATCCAACTTGGTGCGAACAAGGTGAATAGCATTTTGGGAGTCATTAGAAGATATTTAAACTACTATTTAAGGCACTTGTGAGACCGCACTATGCCTCGAGTGTATGGAGTTAGTATAAAACTAAAGATATTGAACTGATAGAGACGTCCAGAGGAGAACAATACTCATACCAGGATATAAAAACCTAACATACCCGGAACGCTTACAGAAACTAAACTTACCAACCTTGGAAGATCGCAGAAAAGAGGGGATATGATAATGTCTACAAAAATCTTAAATAACATTTATGATAAACGAGTCACTTTTTTAGTTCCCGTGTCGTAGACAAGTGGAATAGTTTACCACGACATGTCACAGATGCAACTGATGTTAAACAATTTGAAATATTACTGGACAATCATTGGAAACGAGAAAAAATAACATTCTCTGCTAGTTAATCGAATTGATTATTATTTGTTATACGTAAAAATGCAATGTATACCAGACTCTGGTATACATTGCATTTTTATGTTTAACCAATCAAGTAAACAAATCATTATTATATATAATTAATTGATATGGATATAGAGGCTCGCAGCCTGCATCCGTTATTTTCGTATTAAATCGTATTTAAAAAAAAGACATGTATTTGCATAAATCGCTCAAAAAAACAACAAAAAAAACCCACACCACTGAACTAGACAAAGTCAGGACACGTGAAATAAAGTGTAAATAATAACATATGATATTTTTTTCTCTTTCTATCACTGCCGATCAGGACGTAAACGTAGCTTGTGTAGCATACACTTAAATAATTGACTGGTAAATGTGTTTTGTTTTACTTAAACGACAACAGTTTTAAAGGGGTTTTTTTTATTGGTGGGAGGGTGGCATTCGGAAGGTGGGTCTTAAAAAAGAGAATACCGAAGTGTCAACCAAACGAATACAGTGTGAACTCAAAATCGATAAAGCTAGGGTAAAATATAAACGAATACAGTGTGAACTCAAAATCGATAAAGCTAGGGTAAAATATAAACGAATGCATGGAAACCCGTAAAAAAATACAAGAATGATAAGACCAGATGTTCCGGAAGGGTCATAGACGACACAAGACATGTAAATCGCGGTCAAATCCAAGTTATGTTACGTCCTCAAAGTGAGAAGTGGGATAGTGACAACACAATCACATAAAACATGTTTCCCTTTCAGAGCATGATGGCGACCATACAGCTTGCCAATAGTATGCATCTTTGAAAACCATTCAACACACAGAACGTTAGGACATGGTGTGTCAATATTGGGAAATTCTAGACACATTAGACATTCTTGCAACTCAAGAACACTGGTTCTTAAACTTCTAACAGCCCGAACTTTCAGCTATTTCCCCCAAACCAACCTGGCTGGCCAAGACTGTTGATGTGACGACCACTGTCTCCCTTAGGAAGGAAACGAGGTGTTGGCGGGATTGCTATTATTGGAGTCAGAACGTTGATCAACCAAGCGTTGAAAATTCTGAAAGATGGTAGTAATAGGGTTGCTGCAATTTGTCTGGACACGGCAACAAGAAACACGTGCATTATTATAGTAGGGAGTCTACATTCACAAGTTTTCCGGCGTACACTGTATGAACTCTCAGTTATAGTAACGTACAGGACGCCATACTGGGGGATTTCTTTTAAATTTAAGAACATTTCCACGGACAACCTCATGCAATTGCTTTTTGGAAGCTACAGACTTAACACCAAAAACTTAGTTTCCTAAGAGAGATACATTCTAACATAACAACGGAGTCGATATAGTCAAAGACGATTACATCTTCTCAAACTTTGAAAGAAGCAGAGTGGATTATGGATCACCTGCTCTATCCCGGGTTACATAAAGAAAATCAACAAACTATCAGGTCTGACAACACTCCAGTTCGTAAAATAAAGATTGCACAAATATAACCAGGAAACATTTTCAGAAGAATCAACAGAACCACTTA